TCAGCGTCACAGTAGTCATTGGAGTCTTAGTAGTCTTAGTAGTCAGTAGTCAGACTAGTAATAGGAAGAGCTGACAACAGCGGATAGTATTGGAAATAGTTTTAGCAATACAGCTGGTATGTGTAATAGTAATCGTAATACGTACTGGAAGTGTTATTAGTACTAGTTAACGGAATCGTAGAAGCAGTAGTAACATCTAGTATTCCAATAAAGGCATTAAGTTGGATAATCATGGTCATTGCAATGGTACTGGTAGTGAAACCTAACTGCTGGTTTGATGATGTAGTCTCCGTGTCGCTGTTTGTACTGTCGTTTTTCTTGATGTTGTTACTACCAGGCTTCATTGCATTGGCTAAGGTTTTTGGGGCATTCGGCCTCTTTTTCGGCGCAGCGGCATCCGCCCTTCGCCAAGCGATCGTCTGGCCCCAAGGGAAAAGCAGAAGGAAGAGATTGCGAGCTCCATCCTGCATACCGGAAGCCCAGAATCTGTCAACCTCGGACCTCAAGCTTTGTTGACTTTACATTCGTATCCCTCCGATGCACCTGCGGTTTGCTACAAGTGCTACCTTCAATCGTGCATCTGCAGAGGCCTGCATCTAAACTCTTGTTTGGCCAGGTGCCCGCTGTTTTCCTGAGCCAGAAGGACTGTCGCGATTGGGTTAGACCGCGTTTGACTCGGCGTCCTAGGTATAGGGAGTTGGGCTCTCCATCGTGACGACTTTTTCAGATCCACGTGAAGGATCGGTGCTGATCGGCAACGCTGAAATTGAAAAGGAGACGCGGCAGCTTCACCTGTCGGAGAAGATCACGGCGTTTTGACAGCAGTTTGCAGAAGGAGGGGTCGAAAAGGGGATGGGGCTTCAACAAACGATGTTGGGGGCCCAAAAGAACTATTTAAGGGATCAAAAACATCTATTTCCTCAATAAGCAGAATACAACGCCAAAGACGACGGATCAACACAAAGCATAGACCTGTCCCAGGGATCCAAAAACTACTCCTAGCAAAATCTAGAAAGGAGGACGGAAAGAAACAAATAACGAAAGAAGCAAAGCAAAGAAAGAAAGAAAGCAAGCACAACAAACAGAACCACATAAAGAAGGACAGCAATTCAGCGCAGAGACAAAGAGCGACAGACATATTTAAATAAATAACGTAGGACAGACAGAGCAAAATAACAAACAGCGCAGGAAGCAAGCAAAAAGCAAAGATAACACCTCGAAAGAAGGACAACATAAACTAATAAGTCAAGAAACAAAGAAAGACGGAAAGAGACAGCAATTCAGCGCAGAGAGAAGACCCACAGAAAGACAGAGAGAAAGAAAGACAGGAAGACATACATAAAGAAAGAACGAACAAAAACGAATGAAGCAAGAAAGAAAGAAAAACCAGCAACTCAGCACAGAGAAGTAAGTCCCCTTACTAAGGATCCTAAGTCCATGCACGTCCGTAACAAGTGTACTTGCCTTATTAAAATTCTAGTTACCTGGGTCCATGCACTCTTTGCAGACAGTAAGCATATAAAGAAAATCCTCTGAAACCATCAAACCGAAACCTTCACGCGCAGAGCTTCATTTCGTGCGTTTTCTCGGGATGACAACTATGACGATGACCATCATGATGAGGATGTTGATGATGAGGATGTATGTATGTGTATGTATAAGTGTATATGTATATGCGTAAGGATGTATATGTACATGAATATATACCTATACATATATATATATGTATGTATATATGTAGGTAGATAGACCTGCAAATATGCGTGTACACATGGTCAGGCGCTCCGCGGGTCCCCC